AGAGTCCACCCCACCTGAGCGCCACCATAGTTGGGGCTGAGGTGGGCAAATTTTGAGAATATACTCATATACCTTAAAAATCTTTCCGGTAATCCATATCAACAATACAATACAATTATTTTTCTAATACAATTTAGGGGGATGCAATCGCACCATCTGCACACTGCCAACACCCCTCTCCCCCCCCCCATCCGCCCCAGGCCACTTTACAAAGAGGCAATGCAATATGATCAAATTTACAGATCTGAGGTTGAAAATTGAACATTTGAATTCATTAATTTATTCTGATTTCTTTCATTTTTAGCTTTCAATTGCTAAAAGACACTTGAACACAGATTCCTCACCAAAGTACACATAAAAATTCTTATATTAGCAAACACAATGCACTCCACTCCTAATCTTCAAGAGAGACAAATTCAAGTTATAACTGATAACATATAGTATGCCTACACTTTGTAATTATTACGATCCTATCTTTAAATATTACCGCTGTCACAAGTTCTTGGTAATTCTATCCTACATATCACAAGACATTTCAATGTTGTGAAGTCAATATGCTTAAGTTGAAACAAGCAATAAATCCTAGAAAACACAAAAGTTAATGAGGAGGCTCACTCATGTCAATAAGTAACATACATCTTGTAAAGTGCAATATGTGATTACTCTAGCAGATCATGTCACCACCTCAGATTGGCCTCCATAAACAGCTCAGGTGAGGCGATACCTCTAAAGTGTTACCGTGCTAAGTGATTTCTTGTAAGACATAAGCCTTGTTCCGACAGTGTAAATTACTCACGGTGATATCATAGTTATCGAACAAGTGCTTGTTATGTGGTTGACACCAACCATATGAACGGGATCACCTGATAGAAAACACACGCTTCAACCCGCAAGCTAACACCGACAAATGTCCGGATTGGCAAGGCTCTCATCTGAAAGAACGTCTGGCCACCCCGCTGATTAATTGGCTTACCACATGTTGATTGCAATAACATCTGTAGCTTGACAACGGTCTCGTTTTTGCGACAATTCTAGGCCTAGTTGGTTAATAATATTAACCAAGGCATCTTTAAAATTACCTTTTTAAGTTGTTTTTTACTTTATAATTGTCAAAGGGAATCCAAATAAAACATTACAGAATAAACTTCTATTACTACCGTTCGTTGTAAACTTCATATAAATATTTGTGTCATACTGTGGTAGTTCGTTCGCTGTGTCTAAAGATACGGCTGAATGAGATACGGCTGAACGGGATACGGCGAACACCGGTGAGATACCTGATTCTGAGATTACAGCTAATACGGTAGCCTTATCTTTAGCCACTGCAATTCACGCATTCTAGCAAAAACAACATGTGGTAGGTAGCTCGGTAAAGTTGCCGAAAATCTCTTAATGTTTATGGGTAGGCTTAGGCTACAGTAGGTGAAAAAAACTCAGGGAGTCTGTTACTTCACTTTTACGGAATGCACTACCAAGTGGAAATGAAACAATTAAATTGTTAAACATATTAAATGCCTTTTATTTATCGATAGTTGGAATGGCCTACCAAAGGAGCCATAAGCCCAGGAAGACCCTCGCCATAGCATTTGGCCTAGCTTATGCCTAATGTAATTCCTGTTTTGTCTTCGTTTTGTTGAAACACCATCATGAGATTTTAAAAAATCACTTTAATATTCAACCTATCAGTGTATAAGCGCTATAACTATCTGTGTAACTCTCGTTTAGACATACGATAAAATTTGATGCGACCTGACTGGATTCTCATTAACTTGCATCGGATAGTAGTAATCGTCGGAACATAGCTATACAAATGTAGTCATGAAGAAGTAGGAATTTCTTCCACCAGCTGTGCCCTGGGCATGATTTACTCCCTACATCAAGTGACTTACTAAGTTTCTTCTAACAGTTCTGTCAACCGTTGTCACAGACAGTGGTGGCACTAAGATTAGCCCGACAGAGATGTTAAGTAGTCTGACAAGGGAGGCCAGTGGGAACCAGGAGCAAAGCACAAGTGATGTCCAGGAAAAAATGGCAATTTTAGCCATAATTAAAACTGTTTTGATGTAAGAATGTATTATGCCAAACGAAATTTTAAAAAATTATATTGTGGTCTACAAGGAGCTTGGTCTATCCAATGGAGATATAAATATAATAAACATAAGTCCTCTATTTCGGACGACCCTATAATATAACATCTAATATAAATAGGCTTACCGGTATCTTTTAGGCCATGATGGGATGCTTGATTCTGCTTATCCATTGTCATGGTGGCCCTAGTAACAAAGGAAAAAGGGTTAATGAAAGGAGATGAAATACTGCAGGGAAAAAAAGAGATGATGGCAAGGGAAGAAAAAATGGAGAGATCATGACAGAAAAAGAATAAAAGTTGAAATGACTAAAAAATAACAAAGGAGGAAAGAGAGAAGGGCAGAGGAGGAGGAAGGAGATGAAGAAAAGAAGACATGATACAAGGAGAAATGGGTTGTTATGCTTATCTTAGGCGCGATCTACAAATTATCCCCAACGACAGAAACGCGTCTGGGAAAACCATGTATTACAAACGCGTCTGGGAAAGCGATCGTCTAATT